CAAGAAAATTTCTAACATGAGATCACATATAAAACTGTAAAGCAGCGGGTATTCATGCTTTCAGTGACTTTGTTCTTTCATGAAAATTGACTTCAGTAGTTTTTTTTTATATTCTAGAAAAAGCATAAGGGCTCCTGCTCCTTCACCGTTCTCACTGCTGCGATTTTATCTTTGTTTTAGTACGAAAACAGTCTGATCATATATTTAGGGTCACTTTAACGACTAGCGTATCATCAACTGTTGCAGAAAGCGTCTTAATTATCCTTAACAAATGTGCTGAGGTGTCATACAAACGGTGCGAGGGATATATAATATATCCAGTACTTATCTACAAAAGAAAAGCAAACAGCAGACATTTATCAGAAGAATCAGTCTTCTGACCACCTAGTGGCCAGATTCGGTTACAGCAACCATAGAAAATTTGAACTAACAACATGAAGCTGTAATAAGCAGCTGATCAAAGTACGGAGTGTGTTCGGTAACGTATACGATCAAAACTGGTATTTAGAAGCTACGTTTTTTCAGCTGCATTGCTTCCGAATATATCATTTAAAATGGGTAGAGGACGTAGATGGCAACTATCAAGTCCGCTTGGCTGGCGAAACCTTTCATTTGATAGCGCTCAAAATATCAGATACAAATGATTATTATAAATTTGTTTTGCATAATGTTACAAGGATTATTCCCAGGTAAGGCTTTCAGAATTTTTATCCTTAAAGGTATCAGTACCAAATAATTTAAGGCGAATAAATCTGCAAGTTCATAAGAGGCCTTCCTCAAGCTATCGATAAGTGAATTGCATTCGTATACTGGGAACATTTTTTGAGTCAAACATGAGCGTGCAACATCCTCTTAAAACCTCAGAACTTAGGTTTTTTTTAATTGATGAGTTAAAAACGCGTAAAGAAATTAGGACTCATATATATATATACACACACACACACACACACGAAATACATACATATACACACAGTCATGTCAATATGCGTGTTGCGGTATAAAACCTCTAATAAAACCCGCTCTTTCTTGTTTTGCTTGCACGTCTTTCCAGCCCCCTCCCACGTGCTGCATTTATACTGCAGAAAAGGGCGTTTTCGTTTCCATTTTTGATACCATACTCAAGCGATGTTTCAGCTTCTTTTTACATTGTACTTTGTTGCAGATTAAGTCTTGTTAAATATGCAACATCGCACGGTGCGTTCGTTGCTCCTGAAAACTGGAACACATTTGGATGGTATTTAAAGCATAGCAGATACATCAGCTGCTTGAAAGATTTTGCAAAGCAGTATCGAAAAACATATCCAGAATTGTTCAAACTAGAACCACTGGTGCCGGACAGCATCATCGTTCAGCTTCGCAAATTCCGTAACTGGGCAACTGAACGTGGAGTTACACCAATGATATTCTCTGGCACATTACTTGGTTATCTACTACTTGCTTTGCTCTTTTATCTAAAACAGAAAACATATGCCTGTGGGAAAATGTCGAAGGAAATCTGCTTGTTAAGGAAAACAGCGATAATGCAAGAGAGTTTAAGGTGTAAATGGTTTACGCATTATGCGGACAATATGATTTGAAAAGAAAGAGCAAGTAACAAAAATATTTTAAATCATTACAAACAAAAATGGAAATCTGTGTTAGTGCCGATTGTAAGATCGCTTCTTCTTCAACAAACAGCTTTAGTTGTTTGTTGGATATCTACCCGCCAGACATCTCCCCTTATGGTTGTCATCGCGTGGCCGTCCAGCAGTTGAGGCACAAAAAATCACTCCGCAGTGAGAAAGAACAAACGCCGAACTCTGCCAGTTGACTGTATACAGAGCGAGTCAAGCAAGTAACGGGCCAGCCGGGGTGGCCTGTTTAGTCTTCCGCAGGGATGGAGTAAGAAGATGCGAATCTCCATACGGAAGGATTCAAAATTATGGTGGTAAGTAAATCTGGGCAACTGCTAAGGATAGATAGCATTGCGGGGGTGGGGGAGAGGGGGGTAGAAAAAACGCCAGATCATCGCATGGTACTGCCAGGACACAGAAGACCCAAGCTTCTCATACTGAGTCCTGCTTTTGTCTTTTCTATCAATTGGCGCTATTTCTAAAGATCCACTACCGAATAAGCCCTTAGGTCACTTACGCTTCGGGAGAGCAATGTTCAGCTATGGCCCATAAGTCATCATTGGCTTCTAGGCTAATCAGCACATCTTCTACATACTTCTGTGGCAATGGGTCTAAGCAGTTTAACAGAAGTTGGATTGAGTAGTGTTGCTGGATAATGTTATAAACACGACAGGAAGTAAAATTCAATGTGTATAACCAGCTGGGCAAATGTTTTTCAAGTAAGTAGTACCAGCAAGTGTAATTAATATGTGACACGAGTAGAAACGAAAGCTACCTCGAGCAGGTTCGTAAACAACTGGCACTTTTATGCAATACACTGGAAGAGCCTGTC